CTAATTATTTTAATCGGTACCGTAATAAGGATGTTGTAGAGCCGCGCGCCATCCCCTTTTACGAGGCAGGAACAATTACTTCTTACATATATTAATATATGCCGTAGGAAGTCTAGGCCCCCTTCACCGTGGGTTACGGTTTGTGAACGCGCGCCTCTGTGTGCGAATCGTGTGGCTACGCGGAGAACGCCGCCGTTCGAGACGCTAAAGAGATCGTGAATGAACGACGCGAGAGCCCCGGTGCTCGTGTGCATTAGCAGAGGAAATCGTGTTACAGCCTTCTGGCCATCGGGAATTAAAATTTTTAATTTCCAATGCCGTTCCCTGCATCGCCCATCAATCCTCCGGCCACGATACGCTTCTGCTCGTTAATGCGGTCTAAATTGTTATCTCCACGGGCATTAACAGTCCGTTAATGGGCTATAACGATGCAAAAATCCAAACGTATCTTTTTTCCTACCCATAAATTAGCGGAATCCTTGGAACTGTACGCTCAACCCTCTCGTAATTAATTTAACAAATACATTTTTTTCTGTTCCCTTTAAATCGTTGGGCTTCCGACAAAAATGCAATCAATTTTTGACAGTTTTCACAGAAATGAAAGTGAACGTAACACGGCTGTGGCTCTGGCCCCAAAAGTGGCGCCCTCCGTTGCGGAGAAGGAGCATCTTCGAAACCTTGAAATTATGCAGAAAAAGTCCGCATCGTGGCGCGTGCACCCTGTTTTACCTTGATCCCAGGGGCTGCACGCGTTGCGCCACGAGGTCGTGGAATCGCTGAAAAAGATAATAACGACTCCGCCGGCAAAGAAAAGCTCCGGTTCGCGTGTTTCTTTTCGAAAGCGCGCGTGCACGAGCGCGTCGATAATTCCATTCATTGTTTTCGCGCGCAATGGGACCGAGAAGGAAACACGCGGCGGGAGAGAGCGTGGAGTTTTGCAGTCTGGAAACAAGGAAAGCCTTTGTCGTCGCCCCCTCAGGTCGCAGAAACGGAACATAATGGGGCACGTGTTCTGGTACTGCGTTAATGACATGGTTTCGCCGACTCCTCGATGCCGCATTGTACCCATCGTGTTGCGTTTCTCTTTTTCACGAATCATTTCTCTGCTACTTTTTGACCATTTTTCCACGTTGTTTCTGAGAGTATTTCTGGGGAATTTTTTGCAAAGAAACTATAATACCTCCGTCGGATCGCTACATAGTGTTATTCGTGCTCGAACCACAGACGAGTAGACGTGTAGCCATAACAACCGAAAAATTTTTCGACGAAATTAAAAAGTTTCAAATTGTTCTAAAAAAATTATTTTCGGCTGCGGCGGTCAATTACAATCATTTTTTGTCCTTACAAATACCCCCGAAATCCTACCCAAGTTTGAGAAAAAAATTCGAGTAGATGAACAGATTTTTCGACAAAATTAAAAGTTTCAAATCGTTCTGGAGAAATTATTTTCTGGTGCGAGGATCAATTGCAATCATTTTTGGTGAATAGACATACCCCCAAAATCCTACCCAGTTTTGAGAAAAAAATTCGAGTAGGTGGACAGATTTTTCGACAAAATTAAAAAGTTTCAAATCGTTCTGGAAAAATTATTTTCTGGTGCGGGGGTCAATTACAATCATTTTTTGTCCTTACAAATACCCCCGAAATCCTACCCAAGTTTGAGAAAAAAATTCGAGTAGATGAACAGATTTTTCGACAAAATTAAAAGTTTCAAATCGTTCTGGAGAAATTATTTTCTGGTGCGAGGATCAATTGCAACCATTTTTGGTAAATAGACGCACACCCGAAATCCTACCCAGTTTTGAGAAAAAAATTCTTTTCCGAAACTATAATTTGAGGTTAGAAACGTTGCCCTGAAATTTCGTGCGTATGTTTGAGAGAACGGGTTTTCCGACTGACGTAGATATCCTATTGCGAAATAAAAATAAAACACACGGTACGCATGTTAAACAACAAAGCGTGATTCGATTAATTGAGCGAGCATAAAGCGTATTGTAGATGGCGGAACGAAGGACTTGGACGTTCAAGGAATAACTCGCAGAAAGTCCTTTAATGGTTACTGCGGAAGGCGAGCGGCGACAGCCGATATCCTCCTCATTGTCCTCTTTCTTCTCTCGGCTTTCTGTTCCGAACGCCATTACCTTTTTCCTCTGCGCGGAGGAGCTTCTTCCTTCCGTTGTTCCCTTTCGACGTCTCCCAGAGAACCTGTCCGCACGGGTTTTGAATTTTTCAATCCCGGGCGATATACAGGGTGAGGCACGAATTAGTCCCCTTTCGATGATCTGACAAAAGAATGTTTCCTATCGAAGTTAATCAGTATTTAATCGACAAGAAATTGCAGTTGCTCAAATTAAAAAATAAGTAATTAATTATTATTTATCAAATTTAAACATAATTGATCAACTTCGATAGAAAACTGTTTTTTGTCAGACCATCGAAAGGGGTTAAAAAATCGTGAGGACTGATTCGTGCCTCACCCTGTATATCCTCTCTTTCTCTCTGTCCTGCTCCGTGGCTCGCCTTATTCGGACATGTCAGGCTAAGCGTGCGCAGCCGACAGTGCAAGTGCGGTTGTCCGTGCGCATGGCGTTGCACTTACGCGCACTTACGTGTCGCTTTGTCGGCGCGACGTGCGCTCGCGTCATTACCGTTGCGTTTTCTGTGCGGCTGGACAAACCTCGTGGCCCCGACCGCGTGCTTATTGATGATAAATCATTCCGAAGAGCCTTCACGGTCCGCCGGTCTCGAAAGAAATTTCGTCAGCCGCGCCGCCACTCGGAAGAGAAACGAGGAAATTTACACCGCCTCGACTATTGTTCGCCCGCGATCCATCCGATAGAGTTTGCTCGGATAATTGGACGTATGCTGGTGGCGCCGCTAAACGGAGACTGCCCCAGGGAGCAAATACCCTCCCTTTTTTTAACCATTAACGTTCGCTATACGCTTAACGAGACGGTTCGAGTTCAGTCTTTGGAATTACACAGACCTGGTTTCCATCTATATGGCGACTCGTTAGTCTCTGTTAAATTTTAGTTGCACCCGTTAAATTTCTAGACGCGATGGAGCATAAACTTGTCGAATGCGTAAACGAGGGATCGCAGCGATTCGCCCCGTTGTGTTTACGCATTTCGGCGCGCAGGAAATCCGCGTACGCCGTACGCGGCGCGTTTACAGGCCGATTCTAGCAACTAGGTCACGCTATAGAGTTGCTTCCTCGTAATTTTTTCAAATTTGGAATTTTCTTTTTACTTTTCTGTTTCACCTGCACTTTGTTATTTATTTAATCCTCGTCCAGCACGCTTACAGTTTTTATGTTTTGAAAACTTAGAAAAAATGCAAAGTTTCGCTATAGATTTTTTGTTTGTCTTCGCGTGGAAGGGGGGCTGTGGCCCCGCCCAGTTATTAAAATCGTCCTGTACGGGCAATATTGGCGATGGAAAAAAAGGTATCAGGGTGTGACCGTTGTATTAAAGTCGCGTATGTTTCGCAAACAGCGTCGATATAATTACGTAAGTGGAATTGATTGATGTTAATTGTTCGGCGGGTTCCGGCTCGCCCGGAAGCTGTACTTATAATTCTGACACTCGGTTCTCGCGATCTATGTACTTTCAGATCGTTGTTTCTGCATACGTACGATCGTAGAAGTTCTATTTGAACACGGTCCTGTTTCCTTAACCGCGTGCAGCTTGTTTCGAAACGATCGATAAGGGAACTCGGGATAACATTTACGTACTTTTAATTACTTTTGTTTATGGACATTTTTAACACGTGCAAGGATAAGAATAATCTGTATTCAATTGTATTTTATCGTAAACATGTGAAATTATTATTTATCTCGCGCGAAAAACGTAAAAATTTTATACTCGTCGAGCTGCACGTTTACAACATCGTTCGGTAGCCAGTCTAGCGAAAAGTGGCGATGGGAAATTCGCGCGTAACGGTGTATACGCGAAACAAAGAAGAGCAGCGCCTCTTTCTACGCTTATATTATACTTGAGGAGTACATTAAACACGTGGGAGACTTTAGACTTGCCTCCGAGATATCTCTAGTGGGTTACAGGAAGTGGGAATCGAGTACTTTACGATTTCACCTATTGGACACTTGAAACTCTCGGATGTAACGAGACGCGATCACACGATCCGACGCCCACGCGACTCCCAGCCGTGTAATTTAAACAATATTCCAAACGTTCAGGTTCTCGTTAATAAACACGCCTTGGAAATCGATTTCATTTTTGCAATCTACATCGTACTTTCGAACAAACGCATCTAAATCTTCGAAATTTTTATTCTCGATAAGAAATCGGTGGGGTATAACATTTTTGAGGTTAGGAACGATAAATTTTAGCGTTTTGATAGAAAATATGTCCTGGAACGTGATTTCATTCTCGTAATCGACACCGTACTTTCGAATAAATATGTGATATGACATTTTTGAGGTTAGGAACGATGAAGCTTGGCGTTTCGATGGAAAATGTCTTGGAACGTAATTTCATTCTCGTAATCGACACCGTACTTTCGAATAAATATGTGATATGACATTTTTGAGGTTAGTAACGATAAAGCTTGGTGTTTCGATAGTAAATGTCTTGGAACGTGACTTTATTTTCGTAATCGATATCCCACTTTTGAACAAACACATTTAAATCTTCGAAAGTTTTATTCTCGATAAGAAGTCGGCGGGATATGACATTTTTGAGGTTAGGAACGATAAATCTTAGCATTTCGATAGAAAATATATCTTGGAACGTGATTTCATTCTCGTAATCGACATCGTACTTTCGAACAAACACAAAATCTTCGAAATTTTTATTCTCGATAAGAAATCGACGGAGTATAACATTTTTTAGGTTAGGAACGATAGATCTTAGCGTTTCGATAGAAAATGTATTGTACAGATATGATAAAAATACAACGAAATGGGTATTTGTCGCGATGAAACTATGCTGGATCGTATCAAGGAGGCGGCTTTTTATTTTCAACGCCTATTTTCGTTTCAGACACGCCTCTGTCACCAATGGGGCCGTCGTCGCCGAGTCAGGAGGGTCTATTCACGGATCTCCGTCTTTTGTCCTTGGAGAAGCAGCTCAATATCGAACTCAAGGTAGACGTCGTTTATTAAAAAAAAATGCAAAAAAAAATATAAACAAAATAAATAAAAATGAAAAAAAAAATCGAAAGATACACGAGTATAAATTTAAATTTAAATTTAAATTGTATTTTAAATTTATACAATATTATAATAATTTCGCAAATTTCTTGTGTCAAAATTGTGAAAATTACATCGACTTGAGGTTACCTATTTTTGGGTTTAATAACACGTTTATAGTATCCCATTATAATTTCGTTATTACGCCTGTTTCTATCCGTATGGGAACGTCGCGATATATGGAACGTCGTGCAATAATCGGTTCGCGATTCGCGAGCGATTATTCGAGAGACAGTAACGGTTCTTGTTCGTTCTGTGAGTCAGCCGCGGCGAATCGTCGGCATTTTTCTTTCCACTAAAGATAGCTTCCCGTTTCGTCACACGATGATTTAAACTAATCGGAGAGGCAAGGTTTGAACTTGCCTCGCGAGTTCAATCCGTGACATCGATCCGAATCGAATCGAACAAGAGTATCGTGTGTCTCGATTAATTATTTCCCGAGCGACCTCTCATCGAACGTTTATCGATCGTGAATTCGAAAAATTTCGATCGCAGAAAATCGGTGAAAGAAAACGAGATTTTTCCGCGAAGTGATCGATCCTGGCAACGTGCCAGTCCCAGGTCGACTAATTGTCGATGTCCAACGTGATCCGTATCGAAGCAGAATCGTGTCTTTTACGTCATATCGTGCGATACGTTCCAGTGCATAATAGGTTTAGCCGTAGAGCTGGTGAATACTTACAATGTTTCGGAAACGCGTAGTCGCGTATCGAGCTTCGTCGAGAGAGCAGCAAAAATGCCGAAATTTTTCTTCAAAAAGGTGAATTTCAGTGAGGGTCTGGATTAGTCACAGTAAAAGTTTCAAAAAAAGTAATTAGAAATCGAGAAACAAAATTATTTTTAATAATTCTATTCTTCGCTTTTCGTTCTGTTAAAAGTGGGAACAGAGTTTCGAGAAACGAATAAAAGATGAGAAAACGCGTTCATCCATTTGTTTGTTTAATAAAAATTTCGATTAATTTATGTTTCTGTTCGCGGTTGCAGGTGAAGCAGGGCGCCGAGAACATGATCCAGAGCTTGACCAGCGGAAGGGACAAGAAATTGTTGCAGGAGGCGCAGCAAATGTTGGACGACTCTCGCGCCAAAATCGAGTTCCTGCGCATGCGCATCATGAAGGTCCGGCAAGCGCGTCAGCAGCAACACGCGCGGGGTGACGCACCGCCGCCAAACGGCGAGACAACTAGCAATAAAGGTACAATTTAACAAAGACGAACGTAAAGCATTAGAAACAGTATTTTTGTAAATACGGTTCGTTAAAGCCTTCGATTCCCTTCCCAAACTCGTCTGGTATCGTCCAAATGGATCAGAATGTATCGATGACGTGGAAATATCTGTTGCAACGGTTCGCAGAAGATATTATTCAGCGCGTGCAAATGGGTTGACGCTCTGAATCGGACGAACGCGTCCCTTTGACACTGGGAAAAACCACCGTTATCGTTTTCTCCCCTAACAATCGTTGCACCGGCGACGAGGACACCGGCGGTCTCGCGTGACGCGAAAACAATCTCGCTTTCGGTGTAGATGTTAAACGATCGCAGTCGCGTTTTAACCGAGTCATCGTATCGGGATCCGTGACTCGTCAGCCGTGTCCCCTATGTGCTTTCGATTCATTTTCACCGCGAGAGAGACGCGTCGTAATCGATATGAAACGACGTACGCGTCGTCGAGTAAGGTTTATCATTGTTCGAGAAAAAGAAGATAGTTATCGTTTCGAATATGGATCGATAACGTCGTCGACTCTGATTGCAGACAGGTACGAGCCCAGTTTGGAGCTCGCGCTGGAAGAAAGGGTGGAGGAGCTGCGACATCGTTTGCGAATCGAAGCCGCGGTGGTGGAGGGGGCTAAGAACGTGATACGTCTTCTGCAAAGTGCCAAAGTCGCTGATAAGAAGGCCTTAACAGAGGTACGTGGTTATTTTATGCTCGATAGAGTCGGATGCAACAGCTGACGTGTTCGATAATGGAAAGCTTTTGTACGCTCCTGCGAAGATACGTCGTCAAAAGGGTACCATTCATACCATATTAATAACAGACACGTATTATATGCGTGTCCGCTGTTTGTATGACATTCGCGGACGCGTCTTTCATGCTACGATGTTCATTGCTACTGTTTTATATCTATAAAATCTCATTTAACCGTAACACGTGATTCCCTTTGATGGCGAATCCCATTCTTCGTACCGACGTTAAATCGTTGGTAACGGAGGAAGTAACATTAATATCGAAAATGTTAAATACAAGAGTTTCTTGATTTTTTAAATGGAAACTTGTACTTTTATTATATACAAATTATCGTTAACATATAATACGAAAACAATCCACAGCACAATCTTCGTAACGTGTTCTCAAAATGATCATGATCAAAATGATTTGGTGTCGAGCAATAAGTCTGTAATCTTTCTCGAATTCTACGTTAAAAACGTACGACACAACACTACGATTAAAACCACATTGTTACATAACCTAGAAGAGATGCGAGCGTCGTCTAGGGTTTGTGGCGTCAGTTCCTGTACTCGCCGCCAGAGGGCTACGCTCTTGCATCTCTCGTAAGCGTTTGCCCTAACCCTTACGTTCCTATATATACACTTCTCGAGCGACTATTCAACATCCCATTGTCTGAGGCAGCGCTTGATAGGAAGCCTCTCCTCTTTCCATTTGTTTCAACGTTTATGAAATATTTCCATCGCGTCGGGAAAAGAATGTGTGAAAGTTTCCGTGAAAATCGAACGGGCCAGGCGAAACGCCGCGCGGCCATCGAAGTGTGTTAAGTGGAACGGGGCGTATCGAGAGCGATCAAATTCATCCACCGGGTGGGCAGAATGGATTTTGGCCGGCGCGTAGGGTCCTCTCGACGTAGAGTATGAGCGACGCTGGCGTCCACGCACCGGTTCTCAAAATAGCCACCGGTCTAATCCCCGCTACCCCGTCGTCTTCTATGACGCCTTTTCGGGTCGCGCTTAGTTACCACCTCTTGAAGGGAACTGGCGCGACCCAGTCGCGAGCAACGCGATAAACCAACGACATGTGCGCCAATCAATCGCGAACAGACGGCTCGGGAAACGCGTGTGTCCTCCCGGAGGACATCCCCGGGACCCGTTGACGTCCTCCGTGCTCGCGATTAAAATTCGTGGCGTCGAGAATTATGACCCAAGAAGACTGACTGTGACGCCCCCTCTCGCCGTCGAGAGGCAACACCTGTGGATACGCTCTGCGAATCGTCTGGAACACCGAAGACACCTCCTAATCCCCTAATCGTCGCGACAAAGCCATGCACGAACACGCCGCCAAGGATCGTCGAATTCCAAGACGGGAAGCTGACTGACAGAAATAAAGGGCGCTGCTGTGCGTTCGATTCTCCGTTTTCGAGGGGAGATTCCGTTGGAAAACGGGTGCATTTATTTAGACTGCTCGAACAGTATTATTAATCGTTCGGACGGTGGGTATCGACGACCGACGTGGGCGAGACGCCGATCCGTCGGTAAAAGCAAACGACGCCTGAGAGAGTATCATCTGGTTCCAGGTATATTTGGTCCCCCCGACCGTGCGTTGCTCCAAATTTATATCGCGCTAATTATACCCGGCTCCTACGTATGGTTTGTCACCTTACGGGACCGCGAGGGCGCAGGCGACGGTAACGAGACCCCGATATACACTTGGAACATACGTTCGCTTATGCGGCGCAACGAATGTAAATATTATGAGAAAAGTTATCGGTCTCGATTGAAGAAACGGAAAAAAAAAAGCAAGACTGGACCCACGATGGCGTGCACGGCGTTCCGTCGCGCGGGTGACTGTTTCACAATTTTGATATCGACGCGATACAAACGATACGAAAACCGCTCGAACGCGGTAACGGCAGTCCGAAAATAGAATCGCGGAGACGCAATATCGTCGATTTTCTCCGTCTTTCGCGAGTTCGCGAACCGTGAAAATAACTTTTCCATCGGTTGGGAACTCGGTGTGTCAAACTCTAACCTCTAAAAACCTTCGCACGGGTTCCGCGAACGGAGAGACTGCTATCGTTTTTTTCGTCGTGGATACGATTTCCTGGAATCCATGTGCGAGAGAGCTCGGATTCTCGTCGCAACGAAGCCCGTAAAATGGTGGCCGAATTGGCGTCCGTTGGCCGATAACGGTCTGCGGTGGATAACGGCGTGGAGGCGACCGAGGAAAAGGGCTCGACATGTACGGACGACAGGGGGCGCCTGGTAACTCGCAACCACCGCCGTGGTTGGTTAGAGCGGAGGTGACGATACGCCATAGCACGCCGACCACCACGGAATCCGGACAGACGCCGGCCAGCGTGTCGTCGACGGTCACGGACTCTGGCGGCGTACGCATGATTTATCGATGGAACACCACGGACACGTCCCCGTCCACGGCCCAGGCGTCCTCGATGTCCGTGCCATCAGCGTCGTCCGGGGCGTTCGGTTTCCAACGCGGGAACATACTCTTCACGTCGACGCCGCCTCCCAGACCCAACCCAGGATCGTTCACGATCCCCAGATCCACCGCCGCCGGGAACGACGAGTCCTCATCGTCCAGGGGACGACCAACGGCGAACGTCTCCGACTCCGGCTACGCTACAGAATTCTCGCCGCATTCCTACTCGAGTCTACCGTCCCGTCGTCCGTCCCAGCAGTACAATCGTCGATGCAAGAGCACCTGCAGCATCGTGCTCTCGGCCGTGGACGCGGTGGACGGCTCCAAGAAAGACTCCGTCGGCAGAACGACCGCCAACGAGCCCACCAAACACTCGTACGATCATTCCTGGCGTCACCATTCGTCCCATCAGCATGTCTTCGCGCGACATCAGTTCACCACGGTGCCGGAGGATTGCGAGGAAGCCCCCGAAGAGGCCACCAACCGCTTCGTTGGCAAGGACAAGGTCGGATCGACCACCATTAGCAAGGACGCCTCGTCGCAGACCACGGATATCGAGTCCCGGGAGTCGTCGTCGGTGTTCTGCAAGAACAGGGTCAGGAGGAAGGCTGCCACCGGTCTCTACCACTTCGATGAGCAGAAGAAGAAAAAGGTTGGTACCTACTTTCACCTGTTCTCTGATACGATAATAAAATAATCAACGTGAGTCCCATACAAAATGCTAAATAATGAAGACCTCCGTTCCTTTGTAGCAAGAGAGTGTATCGCCAACAGCGTCCGAGGCTACCACCAGCGTGGGACTTACGGCCGAATCGGAGAAGTCAGACTCCTCCGCGAAGGACGACAGCGCGAAACGCAAGTCCCGTACGGTGCACATCGACGTGTATTGCACCGGCACTGAGGACGACGACGAGAACACCGACACGTCGAGCGACAACGAGCGCGACACCCCGTTGACGGTGTTCGAGAACCCGGACGTGAGGGTGGTGCACACCCAGGTGCCAGGCGACGTCTTGCCGCGCGGATTTCAGGACGACAAAGCGTTCCTGAAGCGTACGACGGAGTCGCGTTGCGACAGCTTCAGGAACGCGCCGATGAGGATGCCCTCGTTGGCCAGCTCGAAGGGCTACGACAGCGACGACGTCCTCAGCTCGCTGTATCCATCGCAGTTCAGCTCTTACAGCGCGCTCAGGGACCTGGATTACTCGGCACCCTGGTCGGCCGCGTCGTCGAACGCTGGTATACCGTTCGATTACGACTCGGCGGTGGCCACTTCGTCGAAAGACACTCTCTCGGACATCGAGTCGCTGACGCCTAACGCGAGACGGGACCTGACATCCTGCGACAGCTTCGAGTACGCGAGCTCTAGCGACCGCGAGAGGATAAGGAAGATGGAGGAGATCTGGGCGAAGACGGAGTCCGAGGGCAGCAAGAGCTGGCGGTCGCCGCAGATAGAACGCAGATGCATGTTGAGGGACAGGAAGATGAGGGAGTACCTGGAGAAACACGAGGTGGGTTGGTCGTCGGCCGACAGCGGCGAGGACACCGACGAGAGCGGCACCGTGGGTTGGAGCTTCGTGTCCAGCGAGGAGAGCCAGCGAATGGCCAAGAGAGCCTCGATCGTCAGACGGTCCAGCAAAAGCACCCAGGAGTCCGTGGAGAGGCACCTGGCTGACGTGAAGGAGAACGAGCCTCCACAGAGAAGCTCGGAAGCGGATAGATCTGGTTCAGCGTCCAAGAGCGATCGTACCTTCCGTCCTCAAGCTCTGCGGGATCAGATCGGGCCCTTTGGCTCGAAGAGCCCGTCTCCGCTTCCCTCGAAAGTACCCTCGCGAGTCACCTCCCCGTTCATGACGCCCCAAGGCGAAAGAACCGACCACATTGTAAAGGCCTCGATCTTCGGCGCTGTGGTGAACGCGTTCCGCAAACCCGGGCACCACATAGGGCCCGCCAAGAACCCCTCGTGTTCGTGCGAGCATTGTCGAAGACACTTCGAGGAATTGAACTCGCGAGAGCATGATCCCATGACCGAGTTCGAGAGGCAAACGGGCTTCTGGTTGCGCGACCAGAAGAAAATCGTTCGCCCTGTACCGGGCAATTGTAAATCGTGAGATCTCGTATCCCCCGCTGACAATGTTGTTACAGCTTCTTTTTAACCCCTGCGACACGATATCAAATTTTACAATTTTATATATCAGTATTTTTATAATTTTATTGTACAAAACTCCTAATATCGTTGTGAACTTGGATTCGTGATGTGGCGCTGCTGGCTGAGGGTAGCAGGCCCTGCCTTAGACGACTGGGTTATTGGGAGGTCGTTCGAGGAGTGTATATATAGCAACCGAGGGGCGATCGAGCGCTTGTGAGAGCGCGACCCCCTCTGGTGGCGAGCATGGGAGGCGACGCCACAGCGAAAAAGTCGATTCGAAATGGGTTGCCCTTACATCACACTATTTTACCACTTTACTCCGAAGATGATAGCAAAGTATTAGAAACACCGTCGGGTCGAAGGGGTTTGAGCACTCTGTAGTGTTTCCTGCATTATAGGGAAATTGCATTAGAAATAATTATTATCGCATAAGGTTGTATTGTATGATGCCGTAACGCGTGTGTTTAAATTCTATTTATTGATCATGATACTCTGTATTCCATACTCGTAGTTTTCTTTTTCTATTCACGACCGGTTACCAAATTCGCCGAAACATTCTGCTGACTATCGAGCATTTATTTAAGCTAGCAGGTACACACTACTATTACTATTCATGCTGTTCATGCCGTTAATAAATATTGATTACATTAGTAGTGGCATTTCATTGTCTCTCTCACCTGTGTCCACTTTTCAACCCGTGCATGTATTATTTATTTGTCTACATTAATTTTCTCCGTTAATTTAGGCTCAGGCGAGTCTCGCAGAATCAAGTAGGAAACTGAACTTGTTGAGATTATCCCTTGAACTTAGAAGACAGGAGTTGCCACCCGACAGTGGCACAGCCGCTCAATTGAAGAGAGAATTAGCCAGCGTGCAATCGGCTAGCCCAGTCCCCGTCACTTACACGTCGTTGCAACCGTTTCGTGGCCCCTTGGAAGGCAGAGCCACCGTGCCTGCTTCGGTATCAAGATGTGCAGCTGTTACTGGACAATTGGAGGTAAAATACTATTTCCATCGGGCGATCAGATGAGTTTCTATGCGACGGAATTTCGTTTCAAGCGCCTAGTTTTGATTTCAGGTTAGGTTAATGGGGTGCCAAGACTTGGCGGAGGAAATACCCGGGCGTACGAGACGAGAGCACCCGGCAAGTCCAGATCTACGTAGTTTTGTTAAAGGGGTTACAGGACGTAGTTCGAGCAAGTCGTACAGCGTCAAGGACGAAACAAGTAGTAAGTGGTTATGTTACAGATAGTATATCTCGATAATCTTAACGGTATTAATTACCTTTGGGTTCCATTTCAGATGATATTATGGCAGTTATTAAATTGGACAACCAAACAGTAGCACAAACAAGTTGGCGACCGTGTTCCCAGCAGGCTTGGGATCAAAGGTACATTTTTATCACATACGTGTTGTCGTAAGAGGTATGTACACCCAGACGTTGTTTCACGGCAGAGTGTATGTCGTTTTCGTAGGTTTTCCATCGAGCTAGATAAATCGAGGGAACTCGAAATAGGCATTTATTGGAAAGATTGGAGGTCCCTTTGCGCCGTGAAGTTTCTGCGTTTGGAAGAGTTCATCGACGACGTGAGACACGGAATGGCGCTTCAGTTGGAGCCGCAGGGCCTCCTTTTCGCCGAGATAAAATTCCTCAACCCTATGATTTCGAGGAAACCGAAGCTGCAACGTCAGCGCAAGATCTTCAAGCAACAAGTGAAGAACTTCCCGAGAGCCAATCAGATGAACATCAACGTCGCCACTTGGGGCAGACTCCTGAAACGATCGGCTCCCTCGTTGCACAATACAAGAAATTCGGAAAGCCCGCCATCAGGTACCTATATATTCTCTGTTGTATCGATAATAAATTAGTATACGAACATAATGCTAAGCTTTTATGTTCTAGGACCGCAACCATTGCAGCTAGTTTTCGATACCTCGTTGGAAGACAAACCCGAGACGCCCGGTGAACTGCCTGATCCGGACAAAGGGGGTTTGGGGGGAGCTAGACCTTTAGGACTGTCCGCTTCGAGCAGCAGCCCGACACTGCCGCGTCCGCCGGAACATCCTCCGCCCCCACCACCCACGGTCACAAAGAAGCTTTCATTGCCAGCGCCGCCACCGCCGCCAAAATTAGATCAAGAAGTAAGTCGTGTCGAGTTCAGAATATTTTTTTACCAGCAAGGCAATTACGATTACCGTTAAAAATAATTCGACGAAAGACAATAATAATTTCAAACAAAGATATCTTACACCTTTTAGCGATTTTTTTTTTTTTTTTCAATTACCCATCTTATCGCAAAAGTATTAAAAAGTTCCCTTAGTATTTTCTGTTTACTCGAAAGGTTTAGGGTTATTGGTACACTGGTTATGGGTAAAAATTACGTAGAACACAGTATATTACTATATCCGATTTGATATTCCATAGAGTGTCTAACGTCTGTATATAGTAATATGTATTTTGAGAAGGCATGTTAGTACATATTATATACTTTTAACTGCGCAAGGTACATTAGCAATTTACACTTACCGCTTTCGAAAAGTACTACGAGTATAACTGTTTTTATAGGTACTTTGGAAACTTTAAAAATGCTATTCGTAAAGCGCAGCGAACCGCCAGATGCTTGGCACGCGTACAAACTTTTATTTACATTTTACCCGTTCAGTTATCGCAATTTTTTCGTTCCGTTGGCTTTCGATGCATTATGCTGTTCTCATTAAATTCAGTGTAAATGTAAATACGTTCTGTCGGCGTGATTGCAACAAACTCCCTTCGGTTTTCAAAGATTTACTTAACTACCGTCCGTTCGTAATAGTTGTTACGTTCAAACCCGGTACGCAACAGTTGAAAGTATACCGCAACTTTAAAGTAGTTTCTTGAGATAAGCAGATAGTAATGTAGTTACAGAGTGCATTAAGGGAGTTTGATTTCCTGCACAACGAGGAAAAGGGGGGGTCTCAGGGCGCAAATTTGAGGCCTCTCGTTACAGAGCCTCGTCCCGTGCTGATTGCACCACCCTCTTCACGCACACCCTCGCCCCAACCTGTCATCGAGTTTCCTGAAGATGAGGTAGATACCTCCTTTACACGCAGCTCTAATTCTTTATTTATTTTACTCCTTCTATTACTCACACGTTCAAAGTAAAATCGCTCTACTGTAACCCGTTCTATCAAAATAACAAACCGTTGCTAATATTTTATTTCTTTTTTATATAATTTCAATAGGTTTTTGTGAACAGCATGTTACCTGAATTTGTGCATGTACCTGTGTATGTGTATTTTGTACAAAAGCTTTTATTACCGTACTTGTACATGTTCTGTGTAATGTCATACGTTCATCTTGCTTCTGATCTCGCAACACATTTCACGAGAAAGCAGCTGTAGGTAACCTTCTAACGACTACCATGAATAATTGTAAACTCTGTCTATCGAGTACACTAACCATTGTATGTATCATATTAATATTCAGTGTTCCTATATTGTGACTACGTCGAATAACATACTACAACGAATAACAACACTTAATGCTATCGATTAATCCCTAAACCAATTAATGTTAGCGTAGTCGTTGCACCGGGATATACGTGTTATTCTAAGACGTATGGTTTGACGATTGTAGGTCGTGTACGAAATTCCAACTAAGCCTTCCCAATACAGAGACAGCGCCTACGAGTCCAGAAGACACTCTCAACTCACCGGAATGACCATAGATAATTTCAGGCTACTGTCGGTACTCGGCCGCGGTCATTTCGGTAAAGTGATTCTGTCGCAGTACAGAAACACTGGCGAATATTTCGCGATCAAAGCGCTGAAGAAGGGGGACATAATAGCAAGGGACGAAGTGGAGTCGTTGCTATCGGAGAAAAGAATATTCGAGGTGGCAAACGCCACGCGTCATCCCTTCCTCGTGAATCTCTTCGCTTGTTTTCAAACCGAGGTACGTATCGTTTCAGTCGCATTCAAAACGCACGATTCCCTCCAGAAGCATCTGATAATAAAAAGCTTTGTTCCCCGCAGGCACACGTGTGTTTCGTAATGGAGTACGCAGCCGGCGGTGATCTTATGATGCACATACACGCGGACGTTTTTGGCGAACCACGAGCCGTGTTTTACTCCGCCTGCGTCGTGTTAGGATTGCAATATTTGCACGAGAGTCGAATCATCTACAGGTAAGCGTGAAATATAGTTTTGCATCGATTCCCATAACGCTGACGAAACGATTGAAATTTTCAGAGATTTGAAACTAGACAATTTATTATTGGACACGGAGGGTTACGTGAAGATCGCCGATTTTGGTTTGTGTAAAGAGGGAATGGGATACGGAGATAGAACGGGAACGTTCTGCGGGACGCCAGAATTCTTGGCACCGGAAGTTCTCACTGAGACCTCGTACACGCGGGCTGTAGATTGGTGGGGTCTTGGAGTATTAATATTTGAAATGCTTGTCGGTGAGGTAAGTTCACTATAATTCAGTGACCGTATATCGTCTGTCCTTTTGATTAATTGACATGTATCTTTTCTTTAGTCGCCGTTCCCCGGTGACGATGAGGAAGAAGTGTTCGATTCTATCGTGAACGACGAAGTTCGCTATCCGCGATTTCTTTCTTTGGAAGCGATAGCAATAATGCGGAGGGTAATTATCCTATTTTCTCTCTATGTACACAGAAACATAACAAGTATCGTTTAAATAACATTTATGATTCATGTTTGATAGTTGCTAAGGAAAAACCCCGATAGAAGATTGGGCAGTAGCGAAAGAGACGCTGAGGATGTTAAAAAGCAAGCATTCTTCAGGCATATAGCTTGGGACGATTTACTCTTAAGACGCGTTAAACCACCGTTCGTCCCAGTAATTGTAAGCATTAGATATCCATCGATATTTTACATGTTCAGCGATACATTACATTTGTATATTTCTGTTCCAGCATTCTGTGGAAGATGTCAGTAACTTCGACGAAGAATTTACATCAGAGAAACCTCAGCTAACACCACCTAAAGATCCAAGGCCGCTTAACGATTTAGAACAAAGTCTGTTCAAAGATTTTACATACATGGCTGACTGGTGCTAGCCATAACGTTAATCGTTAGATCGTCTTCTCTGTTAAATTTGATACGCAAATCATTTAGTGTTCTATTTACTTTTTTCAGACATCATTTTAAGGGCAATCGAATCGCAATCAGCAACATCGGTAATTATATATGTATTCGTTCAATTGACAGAATAACATGTTCCACATTTCGTAATGTTATTGTATTGTACAGATGTTTTATTTTTAATATCATGGATATAATCGGATATAGAGAATTAAAAAAAAAAAAGAAAAAAAAAAAAAGAAATTATGTTCTACCGTTGAATCTCAGGTTTTTAATTAATATATGAATTTCAGGCTTTTAACTCAGTAGCTATACGTTCAGATTTACATTTACCGCAATTATTTACAGTATACAATGTAAGAGATATTTGTAGTCATTTGAGATATCTTTAAAGTAACGTTCACATTTAATCGACCCCCGATAGGCAGGAAAAAAGAAACATAAATAGTACATATACTTTTTCTAGCATGTTCCATATTTTGATACGACACTATTACTGTTTGGGATCCAAATTTATAAAGATTTCTACCGCTTCGTACGCGATCTATCGGGAATCTTGTAATCGTGATTCTAAATATTGACCAAAACGTCTGAAATTGATTCTGTTTAGATCGAAGTATTATTTTACAATTATCATCATAACACCCCTATCATTCTTATGTATAATAATCATTTTTTCTCAACTACTCCAGATTTATGTCCTCGTGTAACGTTGAAAGGATACTCGCTGTATAAACATATAAAAGATTCATAAAGTGCATAAAATAAATCAAAATGTAGTTGTATTTGCTCATGCTCATGTGATAGAGAATTGAACGAGGAAATGGCACTATGTATAACAATGTTGATCAATCTAATCTACAATTAACACCTGGCACTCTCATTACATTAGTCACGTGTACCTAACCATTAAGACGATCGGACGATTTGATCGATTATTTACACGCAATCTGAATATATATCGACTTCTTTTTTTTTGTCGTACAAATTTCTCCAGGTTTGATTCCTATATGATATCCCTGTTAATCGTAACTCCTCCATTTAGTTACATATCTTTACGTTTTCTAGTGCTATACTTTGTAAATATGTAACCAAACGTCGGAAATTGATAACGCATAAGATCCATAAGTACAATAGTTCAGCTTGGTATATCACGTAACACTATCACAACGGTAACACAAGTTCATAGCACATTGTTAGTACTCATTATTCACGTTTAATTATAGATATCGTCTTATAGTTTCCATTTTTTTTTTTTGTACTCCGGTTTTGTAGACAATTACATCGTAATATATGCATTACATCTTAGTTACTTGAAAGAGTTTTCTACTAACATCGTTTTGTTAGAATTGTTGTCTTCTACGTACTATAAATTTATTTAAAATAGTAAATCCGTATTCCCGTATAAATAATTTCTAAAAAGTACCACTAGTACCATATAATATACTAGTTACTATTAAGAGTTGCAATGCATAATTATATCAGTGATTCCTTCGTTAATAACCATATCGACTCATCGGATTCATTTCTAATATCGTTTTTTTTTTATATAAGACATTTGTAAAATTAAATAGTTGGTATCGCGTTTTTGTATAATAAGAACTTTTTAAATGGAACCTGACGAAGTATAGAGATTGCTTTTGATCGCGTAAATTTCTAATTACGATTCAGCGAAAAGCGACGATTAATGGTTTACGATATTTATAAATTACAATGCTGTGATAATTACACGAATGGGTTTCATTTGGAATTTTCTTGCATTGTAAAATTTAATTGTACAAAATTGGAGATCGTTGTTCGTCTTCCCGAAGAGAACAACAAAAAAATAAAAAAAAGTATTGAAAATTGCGAAACAGACAGCTGATCGTATCACGTGTGATAGTTTCGAGTAATCTCGAATTCTAGTTGCCTTAATGCACCGAATAAATTATCATTTGGTAACTGTTTTTTACCGAGATCGTGCACTTTCGAATGAAAACCTAATTATACAGAGGTGCTCGTGCAACGCATTATTTATAATGTGCCTGTTTTTATATAATTCTCGTACGTAAGTTTTAAAATTTAGTTGGATTACTGTAACTTTAGTTAGAACGTACAAGGGACGTTGAGAAACCGCGTGGCAACGTTTCGTTTATGTAACGGGCAAGAAAATATGTTGCATCCGGATCCTCGGAAACGTTTACCGTTTCGATTTCAATGAAACTATCTCGAACCGCCTGAAGAAAGTAAAGGTACAATAAACAGAAAGGATATAACTTTTTATTGATATTTAAAAAGCGTGTTTATTTTTGTATCACGTAAATAATGAGTTACGTTACTTCTCTACATGCCTGACTGCCAAAATACACATTTCTATAAACATATATAATTCTATAAAAAAAAAAAAAATATTTTCTTGTCGACGTATTACTTACGTACTATGTTATGCTCGAAACGTATGTATACTTATCCGTATACAGCACATATATATATATATGATTATGAGGAAAGAAAACATTGTATTAACATCACACGTACATGAGTGTGATACTTTTAACGGCTTTTAACGGCGTGAAATTTTGTATGTGTACTGCAACTTTAAAAATGAAGTATCGTTCGAAAACCGATGATCGAGAAAATGTATATACAATACAAGTGTCGCCAATTTTTTTGTAGATAGATCTATTTTTAACACTCGTGGTAGAAACCTTGTTAGAATATACTTTCGTTACTTATTTTTATATATATATATATATACGAAATAACGTAGGACTGCTAAGTTCTAACCCTAGGTAAAATGTTCGCTATATTTATCTTTATCCTATAGTAATGAAAACAGCATGTGCCTCGTAGCGTTTACTAAATCACGTACACACATAGGTTAGTAACCCTACATAAAGGATGCCTACGGAATATCCTTAATGAGTAATTTATTTAACGTATACATTTGCAGTGGCAGCTTAATACATATCACTCCGAATAGTTAAGTTACTTTTAGCGGTACTTCTCTCGAATATACAATATTTCAATGATACAAGTAATACTTTGAATAATAAATATCTGAAAGCAATACAGAACGAGTTTTCAATGGAAATTTTCGTTAACTCTTGGACTTTGGTACCGTTTCAATCTTTGATGGTAGTCCAGTCGATATTAAACCGGTCTACACAACTCTATATATTTCAGTCGCGAAATTCCCGGCTCGTACCAGGCTCATTTTGATCGCTGTTCTCCGCGTTCAAAGACTTTGCTAGCTCGTACAAGTTGGAAGTATTCTTTCGAATCTCCTTTTCCAATTGAGCTTTCCTTTCCTCTTCAATGTTTTCAATGTCAATTTTCGTTGACTCTTGGACTTTGGTACTGTTTCAAACTTTGATGGTAGTCCAGTCGATATTAAACCGGTCTACACAACTCTATATATTTCAGTCGCGAAATTCGTGGCTCGTACCAGGCTCATTTTGATCGCTGTTCTCCGCGTTCAAAGACTTTGCTAGCTCGTACAAGTTGGAAGTATTCTTTCGAATCTCCTTCTCCAATTGAGCTTTCCTTTCCTCTTCAATGTTTTCAATGTCAATTTTCGTTGACTCTTGGACTTTGGTACTGTTTCAATCTTTGATGGTAGTCCAGTCGATATTAAACCGGTCTACACAACTCTATATATTTCAGTCGCGAAATTCGTGGCTCGTACCAGGCTCATTTTGATCGCTGTGCTCCGCGTTCAAAGACTTTGCTAGCTCGTACAAGTTGGAAGTATTCTTTCGAATCTCCTTTTCCAATTGAGCTTTCCTTTCCTCTTCAATGTTTTCAATGTCAATTTTCGTTGACTCTTGGACTTTGGTACTGTTTCAATCTTTGATGGTAGTCCAGTCGATATTAAACCGGTCTACACAACTCTATATATTTCAGTCGCGAAATTCGTGGCTCGTACCAGGCTCATTTTGATCGCTGTTCTCCGCGTTCAAAGACTTTGCTAGCTCGTACAAGTTGGAAGTATTCTTTCGAATCTCCTTTTCCAATTGAGCTTTCCTTTCCTCTTCAATGTTTTCAATGTCAATTTTCGTTGACTCTTGGACTTTGGTACTGTTTCAATCTTTGATGGTAGTCCAGTCGATATTAAACCGGTCTACACAACTCTATATATTTCAGTCGCGAAATTCGTGGCTCGTACCAGGCTCATTTTGATCGCTGTGCTCCGCGTTCAAAGACTTTGCTAGCTCGTACAAGTTGGAAGTATTCTTTCGAATCTCCTTCTCCAATTGAGCTTTCCTTTCCTCTTTTTCCTTCATCGACTTTGTTGCTTCGGGGGCCATAGGTTTTACAAGACCCCTAGTTGCTTTGTAAATTACACTGGTACTGTCTTCGGACTTAAACACAAACGTGACCCTGATGAAACAAAAATGAATTCATTTATAATAGCGTAAGATACAATGTATATATTATCAGATTCATTAACGATGGTTCCATTTACCTTTCGACATTCAAACCTTGCTGTATGTTTTCAATTTTGTCGAGGGATATATTGTACAATGTTGACCAAGGCACGTAAATTTCTATTTCTGAATTCTTTTTCCTTTTCACTTCCAAATAGAGTAGATCCAGACTTTCGTTATATTTGTAATTAACCTCCCAATATCTCCTTGCTAATGATAGATAATAATAGTCCGGTTAAAGGAACCTTGAAGTTCTACTTTTCGAATATTGTTATAGTTACCTTCGCACAGCTCGATATAAACGTAAAACGTCGTGCTTATTTTTATTGGATCGGTACATCCCAGTTTTCCAATGTAATAATACTGGAAATATAAAGACACATAGATATTATCTGTTACTAGTACTCTTACATTTCATGCATTGCTGTGTTACTTACGCTAGGATGGCATGTATCGTACATTTTTTAACGAACGTCTAATTCTTCGTTAAAAATTATTACCAAATACTTGAACGTTAGGTTAAGTAAAACAAATTCGTCTCAAATTCGTTCAGAAAAAGGTACAGGTTAAGAGAAATCATTACTTTATTTAAGCATTCTATACAAGATTGTTATAATTGGCATTATTTATAGATTATAAAATTACAAGAAGGTTTTACAAATTGGTCTTAAAGATCCGTAATCTAGATATTTCGCATTGAGATAAAATAGAATTGGTATATAACACTTATCAAAGACGTTCGAAACTTGTGTCTCTAAATAGTTCACAATTATTTAGAACTCGATGTATCTTTACGTAGTCCAAAGCATACTTTTATAATGAAGAAAGAATTCACTTCTTCACGGAAGATGACGAACTAGTTCTCGACAAACACGAACGTTCCGCTGTAGATGGCGATGCAGTGTCTTTATTATAAAAATATCTTTTGCGTTATGTTTATGTAGTCTAAGAGTTCATTATAAAATGATCTACGGGCTCGGACATGTTCTCCTGATATTAAAGTTTGAATGAATCTTGGGAACTCTGTCATTTCAATCCTGATACAAACTCCAGAGAATACGATAGGATTCTACAGGAAATATATAAGATCGAGTCTGTTTAATTCTCAATAACTTTACATTTATTAAAAGACATCGCCCTGAATGCAAATATCTGTGCCTCCTAAGTGGTAAATATGGTTACACTAGAATGATAAACGCAGTCGATAAGCGTCGTCGATAGAGTGATCGTCTCTCTGCTGACCACAGCTTACATTACTGACAACGCACAACGATTACTAATGGCTTCTGCCTGCAACCGCTGGCCTCTGCTGACCGCTGCTGATCACTCCTGGTCCTTCGTGCAACGTATAACGATTACGACTGGCTACTACCAGCCTCTGCTGGCCTCTGCTGGCCTCTGCTGGCCTCTGCTGGCCTCTGCTGGTCTCTGCTGGTCTCTGCTGGTCTCTGCTTGCCACTGCTGGCCTCCGCTGACCACTGCTGACCACCCCTTATACTTCCGACAACGTACAACGATTACTACTTGTTCCTGCTTGCCCCTGCTGGTCACTGCATGCCTCTGCATCCCTCTGCTGCCCCCTGCTGTCCCCTGCTGGCCTCTACTGACCCCTACTGACCCCTACTGACCCCTACTGACCACTGCTGACCACCCCTTATACTTCCGACAACGTACAACGATTACTACTTGTTCCTGCTTGCCCCTGCTGGTCACTGCATGCCTCTGCATCCCTCTGCTGCCCCCTGCTGGCCCCTACTGACCCCTACTGACCACTGCTGACCACCCCTGATGCTTCCAACAACGTACAACGACTACAACTTGCTACTACTTGCCCCTGCTGGTCTCTACTGTCCCTTGCTGCCCCCCCTGACCCCTACTGACCCCTGCTGACCACTGCTGACCTTTGTTAATAACTTCTCCCATGATATATATGTATTAAAACTTTGTATAATGTAAATCTATGGCAATAAATGATATAATTTCAAAGTATTCTATATGTTCTCATCATTTTTACCTTTCTTTTCCTCTCCAAATCATTCCCTTAGTTATAAGAGACTCCCTGAAACTCCTTGGTCTCCCAGAACCCACTAGGAAGTCCTGAAACTCAGAGCTTTGCTAAAAATTCAAAGTTTCCAAGAATTTTCGGCGTTTCCAAGAAATTCCAAGACTTCCCAGTTGTTTCAGGACTTTCCAGCTGTTTCAGGCTTTTCCAGCCGTTTCAGGACTTTCCAGCTGTTTCAGGGCTTTCCAACTGCCAGGAATTTTTCGTTGTTTCAGGCCTTTTTCGGCGTTTCAGGCTTTTCCAGCGGTTTCAGGACTTTCCAGCTGTTTCAGGGCTTTCCAGCTGCCAGGAATTTTCGTTGTTTCAGGCCTTTTTCGGTGTTTCAGGCCTTTTTCGGCGTTCCAGGACTTTCCAGCTGTTTCAGGACTTTCCAGCTGCCAGGAGTTTGTCGTTGTTTCAGGCTTTTCGGTGTTTCAGGCTTTTCCAGCTGTTTCAGGACTTTCCAACTGTTTCAGGACTATCAATTGTTTCAGGACTTTCAATAATTTAAACGGGACCCCGCTGAAATCTTCTCGAGGAACTTAGAAATTTTTCGGCCGAGAATTTTTAAGAGAACTTGAGAATTTCAAAGTTAATTTTTCGTTTTAGACTTTGTTATGAGGAGGACATGATAATGGAAGAGGTGGCAGGTATCTTATAACTATGGGAATGCTTTGGAGAGGTGAAGGAAGGTAAAAATGACGAGAAGACATAGAATTCTTTGAAATTATAACATTTATTGCGATAGATTTACATTATACAAAGTTTTAATACATATATATCAGGGCAGAAGTTAGAAACAAAGGTCAGCAGTGGTCAGCAGGGGCCAGAGGGGTCAGAGGGGCCAGCAAGGGACAGTAGAGACCAGCAGGGGCAAGCAGTAACAAGTAGTAATCGTTGTACATTGTCGGAAGCATAAGGAGTGGTCTGCAGTGGTCAGTAGGAGTCAGCAGGGGACAGCAGGGGGCAGCAGAGGGATGCAGAGGCATGCAGCGACCAGCAGGGGCAAGCAGTAACGAGTAGTAATCGTTGTACGTTGTCGGAAGTATAAGGAGTGGTCAGCAGTGGTCAGCAGAGGTTAGCAGTGGCAAGCAGTGGCAAGCAGAGACCAGCAGAGACTAGCAGAGACCAGCAGAGTCCAAGCAGAGACCAGCAGGGGCAAGCAATCGCAAGTTGCAATCGTTATACGTTGTCAGAAGTATAAGGGGTGGTCAGTAGTGGTCAGCAGAGGCCAGCAGTGGCAAGCAGTGGCAAGCAGAGACCAGCAGGGGACAGCAGAGGGATGCAGAGGCATGCAGCGACCAGCAGGGGCAAGCAATAGCAAGTTGCAATCGTTATACATTGTCAGAAGTATAAGGGGTGGTCACCAGTGGCCAGCAGTGGCAAGCAGTGGCAAGCAGAGACCAGCAGGGGATAGCAGAGGGATGCAGAGGCATGCAGAGACTAGCAGGGGCAAGCAATAGCAAGTTGCAATCGTTGTACGTTGTCAGAAGTATAAGGGGTGGTCAGCAGTGGTCAGCAGAAGTCAGCAGTGGCAAGCAGTGGCAAGCAGAGACCAGCAGGGGACAGCAGAGGGATGCAGAGGCATGCAGAGACTAGCAGGGGCAAGCAATAGCAAGTTGCAATCGTTATACGTTGTCAGAAGTATAAGGGGTGGTCAGCAGTGGTCAGCAGAAGTCAGCAGTGGCAAGCAGTGGCAAGCAGAGACCAGCAAAGACGAGCAGAGACCAGCAGAGACCAGCAGGGGCAAGCAATAGCAAGTTACAATCGTTATACGTTGTCAGAAGTATGAGGAAAGGTCAGCAGTGGTCAGCAGAGTCCAGCGAAGGTTGGCAGAAGTCAGTCGCAATTGTTATAATTGAATTTCAGTTGTTCAAGAGCGAGAAGGCAAATGTGAGCCTTCCTCTCTCGACTCCCACGAGACGGATCGAGAAGGAGGGCATGTGTCAGTTTGCCTTTGTCGACTTTTCGAAACTCCACGAGCTCGTGTACGCGTGATCTGGAATATATGAATAGGGCATCGTCGATGCTTTCCTGGCACCTCTGCATGGGAGACGATCACTCTATCAGCGACGCTTATCGACAGCATTTATTATTCCAGTGATACCACTTAGGAGGCACGCGAGAGAATATATGCGTTAGTCTATTTAACACCTTAACGTTCATATTTTTCGGGTTAACCAACAATGATCAGTTTTCTTTGTTGGATTTGGCTCTAAAAATACGGTTCTCGTTAATTACAATGTTGTATCTAATGTATTATTTGAAGGAAAATAAATATTATCGTCCCTCAAACCGTTGGATTAAACAAATATTGTTTTTTAAAACAGTCAGACTCGGGCATGAACGTTAAGGGGTTAATAAATTTAAGGCAAGAACGGCCAAGTCTGGCGTGGAATAGTTCATTGTCGCCACCATTTTAGCACCAGGGGGCCAGAGGTTGTGGCCAACGTCCGTAGCTTTGGCGCTGCACGCGATGCCGTTGTTCTTCTTTAGAACAGTCGAGTCGACCATCTAAAACAATTGTAGTACTTCCTTCCGGTCTTAGCTCTCGACCCCGCGCACACGTGTTTGTAGACGAAGTTCGCTGTTACTGTTAATTCTTGTTGAAAATAAATATTGTGAAAACCACATCCGTTAAATCCGTCTAATCACCCTTAAATATTAGTATAGCAAAAGAGCTATAAGGTCGATAAATTAGCGCCATCTAGCGTCGAAGACAATGAACTATTCCACGACAGACTTGGGCGTTCTTGCCTTAAATTTATTAAATAGACCAATGCATATAATCTCAAGTTTATTTATATCACGCTTAACATAGACAGAGCATAATTTTATTTTCTGGCACATATGGTCATTATTTATAAGTTATCGAAGAGTACTGAAAGGTACCCGTCGTAGATACAACAGTGTTCCTGATATGCAAGAACAACACGAATAAATACTAATAATCGCAGGAAATTAAATAATCGCCGACGTTCTGTAGTCGACTGGGACGTATGCTGTTCGATAAGAATCTCGAATATCATACTGTTCAATTCCTACATGCTCGCTTTTTATATACCATTTACGATACGTGTTTGTGCATGTGTTTACAAGTGACGCACGAGGTCCACGCACACTTTTACGTCGCTTCACAGAATACTTCCACCTCTCGTGTCGTCACACATTCAATATCACCGGAACGCGAACGCCGCATCGTGTACGCGAGCCAAGAAGACCAATATGCATTCGCTATCGATACTTCGTCGGGCGAGTATCACACACGGTCCATTTTCGGCGATAATCCGGTTCCTCCAGTCTTACCGTTAAGTTTTTATATCTCGATCGAACGTGAGATCAGAACAGATGCGAGTACTCGATCGTTTATAAGCTTCTGATTGGTCGCGTCTACCGTCCGAACTAAATTTAAACGGGCGTTCGTTAAGCGTCTCGTTTGCACATGCAGTATCCTCGACACCGCGCGAGTGCAACGTTACATGATGCGGTCGACAATTTTTCTTAATCAGATTCCGTTCGTAACTCGGTCCTCGTCGACAGAATAATATTTCTACGATCTATCAGTGCACGTGTAACGCAAGGATGCTGTGTCGTTGAAGCGGTTCGTTATCGTTGCATACTATTCGTATTCATAAAGTTTGTTTACGTCGGTTCTACGAGTGAGTCGGTATTCGATCGAAAGGAAAGTACACTTTTTTCGAGCGATACTATCACGTGATTTAAGGTATCTAACAGAGAACAAGGTTCCACGAGTTTGTATAAGAGTGCATTCAACGATTTTCGTTCATCGATCGTGTCATGCGATAAGCTTAGAAATCGATGGACCACGGTGAAATAGAGAGGTTCAGTTTCTTTTTTATTTCGAGTTCGTCGTTCAAGTTTTATGGGTTAGGACCTTTCGCCTGCTCGTCCACCACCACGTGAAAGTAGCGGCAACCTGTTGCCACCTTTGTACCTTGAAAAATGTGCTCGTGCATCGAGCGTTTGTTCAGGCTGCTCTGGCTATGTAAACTGTACGCGTTGATCGCGTTGATAGTCACAGCGATTGTTGTTTCGATAATAATCCAGCCAATATGGTCGGCCGATTCGCCATCGAACCGCGATGTATTCATGGACATCGAAATGGAAAGGACTTACAACTGGGGTACGTGGTGTTCCCTTTACTCGCGTGTATCGGTTAGGAATATTGTCACGAGAATCTCGTCCTGCACAGCTGTTCCCTACTAGAGGCGCTGCGATCGATTACTGATTTATCTGTACTCACAATATCGATAGCATTTTTTAAATATCAAATTTCTATTCTTATTCGAACTTATTGTCACTTGTCACAAATTACTTACAATTAGTGTCATTTGTGTCTACTCATTGTACGACTCTCGTACGTCATTATTCGGATGGAAAGTGTTATGTTCATTAATATTCAAATTGAAACGATACAATACAGTCTTTATAATCCGATCGTTCGCTAATTCAACCTTCTGTAATTCAACACTTCGCGGCTGGTTTTTTATTTCGCCTTCTTAGCACGAAACAAATTTATCTTCAAACCTATACACTAACTTTCGCTTACTAAACTGTGTACACGTGAAATGCAAACGTGGAAAGTATCGATCGATGTCAGGTTAAGCGATCCTGCTTTGGCCCAAGTTAGAATAGTTAATTAACGAGGCTCTCGAAATAATAAAAAAACATAATACACGTTAACCTTTCGAACATCTTCCTTCAAAAATGTTTCGTATTAAATGAGGTTTTTGGATCGAACTTAAAATCATTTTGAGGTTACATCAGGATCGTTTGTATTTTTCCTTCGAATCAGATGAATCATTTATGCATTTATTAGTGCAGTTAAAGATAACGAAGTTATCAGGAAACCGAGTAATCAGGAAATACTGTCCATGAATCTATTTACATAACTCGAAGTAAAATTGCATGTAGACCGGTTTATGAAAACTATAACTAAACGTAGTGTCCTAAGAACCGTGTTACACGATTGATAACTGCACTTTACTGATATCTTTACCTTGCGAAATTCCAATAAAGGTAGCGTAGCCAACGAGTCATCTGAACATCGTTGGAACGTGACAATATTTTTACCGATACACAAGTTTTATTGAAAGCCTCGCAATTTTATCACGGTTTATCCGTAACGCCACCTTTATTGTCGTTTCAGTTTTGGACAAGTGGTACAACTTCACCGACGGTGAGTTCGAACGATTTTATTTTCTAACCAATGGCGGGCCAGTGGTCCTCAACACTTTGACGGCCGCTGTCGCGTATACGTGAGCTCGCGAGCTAATAGACGTTGGCCAATGTCACGTATGCGTGAGTTCGCGAGCTAATAGACGTTGGCCAATGTCACGTATGCGTGAGTTCGCGAGCTAATTGACGTTGGCCAATGTCACGTATGCGTGAGTTCGCGAGCTAATAGACGTTGGCCAATGTCACGTATGCGTGAGTTCGCGAGCTAATAGACGTTGGCCAATGTCACGTTTGCGTGATCTATCAGTCACCATTTCATCATACATTCAACCTTATCACGTTTGTTGAGTTACATTTATAATTCCTAGCATCTTCATGTGTTTCACTTTGGTCCACAATATCAGTGGTGACGGACAACGGTATATACAGGGTGTCCCGTAAATGGGGGGGTAGCTGAGACGATTCTGAACAACAATTTCCTTTGCAAAAATGTCGGATGGGGCTTCGTTTTTGAATTATTAACGATATATATATATATATGATATGTGAAACGTGCGGCCATTAAAGTGTTAACGCTAGAACTACCAAAACCAGTCAAAATGACCCATTCGAAATTTCTAATATTTTTAAAAAATTAATTTTTGAAAGTTAACTGTAATTTTCTATGAGAGAACAAATATACATTTATTTCCATTGCATTATATATTTTTTTTCATGTATCAATCGTTTTGATTCCTTTGGTACAAATAAATTCACTATAATTGTAGTTCTAGTGTTAATCCGGGGGTCCACGGGCGCCAGTGACGTCATTCTTCTCGTAACAGCGATCGAGAATGGCTAACGTGACCTAAAACTCCTGCAATCTCTGATTTTATAGTTCCTTTCAATGCTTCATTGCCGATTACGCGATATGATTGTTGACAACATCGATCATGTTGGACTAATGCACGCTGTCAGATTAATTTCTTGACTTCACGATGAAAATTAACTTGTTTATTGTCGTTACGTGATTTTACCATTTTTCTAACTGCATTATGCAAGTTTACCAACACACCCAGCGAGACTGTTTGACGTTCAAATAATTTACGATGATGTTTAGCCACGTGCTGTGCGTTGATATGCATCATTTTCTAAATATAATAGTTACATTACATAACAGTAAACTAATAGTTTAATAAATAATCACTGGTTCAAAATCGGTTAACATTTTTGCAAATTAAGTAGATTATACTATCCGTCGAGATGCAAGGAACAACCAAATAAAATTTTATTCGTATAGAATACAAACAGGACTTATGAGGAAATCACAAACACACAGATTTCGAATTTTATATTAATAATAGCTCGCTAGATGAATACTCTTGTAATTATCATTGTTTTGTCCCACAACAGAAATTGTTCAGAAGTCAATAGCTAAAAGTATTAGTTATTAACTTGGAATGTTCTCTTGTCTAGTAGTAACAATAGAAAATATGTTTTCGTTAAGCGTTCGTATCCGTTATTGTGGCCAACCTGTTCCTCAATGGCCATGTATGCCATGTAATTACACACGTATAATATCATACCTGTTGAACGTCCGTACGAAAGTGAATACAAACGCGTGTCACGCGACGAACGATAATAGCAGATCGTGCACATTATTTCCGACAAATAACCATACACGACTTTAACGAAACACGAAAAACAGAGTCTCGTTGATACGGTTTTTAAATTCTTTTCACAGACGCTATATTACCGGCGCTGTATGTTGACTCTGACAATAGAAATGGCAAGAATTTGCTTCTCCGTTAACTAAAATTTCCATTTTTAATCATCCTTTGAGTTATTCCGGCCCCTGTTCAAAATGGACGACGCTTACGGAGCTATTTAAGACTCGCCGATGTAAGGTCTAATTTAATTATGCCACGTTACGGTCTGCATTTATCTAGCATCGTTTAATTTGTGAGCACAGGTTACCGATGTTGTCACTTTAACCTTAGGAAGATTGAAGCCTCCCCAAGCTCTACTTAAGTTATAACGGCTATTAGGATTTTTTAATTGGTGTACTGAATCAGTGTTAACAGATAAAGCTAGCAAACGTAGGGAAGTCTTCTCTAACATGATGTACAGGGCATTAGTATCATTTAGTGGAAGTCCTTGCCTGAGGTACTCTCTCTTATGTCAGACAGCCTAAGTCGGGTCCTCTTTGGCTCCCGGCGGGGTGCGTTGGAGAAATGGAGACCAGTTTCAGGGAACAAAGACTTCTCTACGTTTACAAGGTCGTACGCAAACAGGAAGGGTAGTTTCTCAGCTCTCGCTAGAGTCAAGGACACTAATAAAGCAATGACTGATAGAAGTCAACGTAGACTTAAACATATTTTTCGGTACTTTCGTAGGCGTTAGATGGTACAATAATAAAATACTGTCTCCATCCGACCCGGAGTGGGAGCGTTACTTGGCGGACCTACGACGGAATTGGATAGTTTGGATGTACAATCCAAACCAGTCGTACAATCTTAAAAATCCTGAGATCGAGGATCATTCGATGGGTCAAGCCAATGTCATTCGTAAAATTCTCAATGAAAAGGTAGGAACACCAGACAGTGTCAGATATGTACAAAATAGATGCAAGATACATACAAACAATTAACAAACTATATCTATAACTATAAATATATGACAGCTTTAATTCCAACATAAACGTTTAAATCGTCCACTGCTATCTTCCTCGTTCGAGATAGCGATGAACAAGGTATCAATTAATTTCTGCGTGCAGAGGAATGGTTTCTTCGTGGAGTGTGGCGCCTACGATGGCGAGACACGCAGCAACACGTTGGTCCTGGAACGACAGCTCGGTTGGACTGGTCTCCTGGTCGAGGCGGACCCCATAAGTTTCAGCAAAATGTTGCAGAAGAACAGGAAGGCTTACCTGACGCCCACGTGTCTCGGGATTCAGCCATATCCTACCATGGTACGAAATTTTCTCACCTAACCTTAAAAAAATCCGTTCGAGATTCGTCAACGTTCAACGCTGCGTCTGAAATGTAAAAATGACTCGTTTAATAAGTATGTTACGATGACCAGTGTTTTGTTATACATTGTACGTACCTTGCTCTACCAGAGTTCCTTCCTGATGGCGAGAAACGTGGGTCGTCTTCACGAGCCGAACGCGACCGACAGCCATTTGCCAAATTCGCCGGACGTGGCCCACAGCGGCACCCACATTTACGTCCAATGTTTCCCATTCGTCCATTACATGGCTGCGCTGAACGTCACCACTGTTCATTACTTCAGTCTCGACATAGAGGGCTACGAGTTGGAGGTGTTAAAAACGATTCCGTTCGACACGATAAATATAGAGGTACGTGTGGCCAGCAGACTCTGGAAAATATTTTCGTTAAAGAAAAACATCACAGTAGATAATTAATGATGGGAAATTTAATTATATTTCAGACTCTTTCGGTGGAATTCTCCCACGTGGAAGATGGCAAGAAGGAGCTGATCAGCTTCATGGAGTCCAAGGGCTACTTTGTCTATTCGTTCGTCGTGAGAGCTGACAAATTGGCTCACGACATAATATTCGCTAAACAAGCGAACGAAGGAGTCTAAGTTCGATAGAGTAATCTCACATTAGTCGAATACGTGTTTATTATCTTGTTCCTTGACCTGAAATACATCAGTCGCGTTACAACGGTATTGTTGGAACTAGTATTGTTGGTTCCTAGTATTGTCCACGCGTTAAGTATTCGGATAAATCGTTCGGTTGGTATTACCAGCTTTATAAGCCATTCCTATAGCTACTAGTCAATTATTACGTTGTTTTGTTTAATTTAGATTTAGTTTCGACGCGTCGTTGTATGAATCCGGACAGAGCTTAATTTTAGGTTATCTAGTTTTTGATCGGCGAGAAATAAAAAAATAATGTATCTTCACGTCGAACAAAAAAAAAACTAGAAAAAGTCTGGTATCGTTAATATTATTTTCATTTTATTTTACAAATATTTACAGGAACATACATTTCGCATAATAAAATAAAGTGTCTCTTTATAGGTAGTACACACAAATTCCCGTCGACATTAATTCAAAAAACGACAGAAAATAAATATTCCGGAAACAATTAGGAACGCACGGTTGTTCCCACCGCGCGAGAAAATTTGCACAACAAACCGTTAACGCGATTTTCTGCGATTCGTTACAACTCTCTCAAAGCTCGTTTCATCGAATTTCGTTTTATGTATCATTTTTATTTATGTTACGATCTCTCTATGGGGGGCGGAAACAATTTATCGACCCGTTCTGTCCGGGATTTATTATTGTAACAAAAGACAAATATTAGTGCAGTAGGATCGAAGAAATTTATGTGAAAAAAAATTCTATTTAAACGTAATTAAAGGGCACAAATATTATATGATATCGTATGGCATCGTTGGATATATTTTATTCATTTTTTGTTTGCTGAAATAAAACATTATGTTTTTCATCAATGTAACAGCCGTCCTAGTGTGTATTCTACGCTTAAAAAAACAATTAATATGAAATCTAAATTAAGACATCGATGCCATAAGGGATCATTTGGACAGAAAGGGTTAAAGGAAGCACCATACATTGTACCTTTAAAACTACTGGAATGATTTAATGTACAATGAAAGCAACTCTGTTTATTGCCACATTATGAGCAATAAAGTTCTAATGATTCCCTACGGTTGCATTAAATAAAATAAAAAGAAAAATAATTTAAACTTAAGGCTGTAACAAAATATAAGTAACTTGTTTAAAGCTCTCGGGACTAGCTTCGCCATATTTCCCATATTTTTCATTTATTTAAATGAAAAAGGGACATTTAAACGTTTAAGAAATACATCTATCTATTATAATAGCTGCCATTCTTAAAATTGAATGCGGAGGAGAGCGTTCAATTTCTTCGTTAATCGTCGAACGTGTTCCTTAGCGTTTACCTAACCACAATTACCTAAATTCGTTTGGTCGTCAATGTATATTAAATACAGTTCTTTTCATGGTTCGTTGCCAAATGACTCTTGGATTCGATAATTTTCAATACCTATTCGGCTCATCGTTCTTTTTTTTCCCCGTTCAGGTCGACATATTTCGCTTTTCAGGAATTGAAATCTCTCCTCTTACTACCGTGATGCTTCTGCCGTTCCATTTTATCGCTGGCGTCGTCAGAAGAATAACGAATCTCTGATCCCTAAAATACAGCAACAGAAAATTTCGGTTAATACAGATGGTTGGAGGGGCGCAACGTTTCGGTCCAGCAACGTCGACAAGCGGTTTAGGAACTCGAGACTCTTGTACGAGGTGCGCACGGTCGTTCTGCGCATTTAAAAGGACACGGATGTTACCTCTATTAGGACCGAACCGTACAATTGTGCGTCGATAATTGTAAAAGTCGCAGCGACGCTTGTACGGTCCACGGGGCGCGAGACAATGTTCAAAGAAGCGAACGTTGTCGGTAAAGCTACGAAAAATTAGATCCTGTCTGTTTCTATAAACTATTATACTTCTATCCATCCGACCGGATTACCCAGGAAATAATTACAGAGGCTACTTTGAACCTTTAGCAACTAGAGACATACTCGTCCACAGATGTGTTTTCGTAATACTTACATGGTAAACGTTCACTTAATTAATCACAGATTCAAAAAATTCTAAAACACCGCTAACCCGATTCTAATGCATCGTTCACAACCTTATGCAGGATCTGTGCTCGAACTTGAACGGGGGAATCGTTCAAATAACGGTCGACGAACGTCAACACGCGGCCATTGAACAATTGTTCAACGTTTGAGGAAGTCAAAAACGATTTCCGTAGGTTCAAATTCAATTGGCCGTTCGAGTTTGTGACGGAGAAGCATAGTTATTGGTAGGTCGAGGTTCATTTGATGAGGGTTGTCTTTCAAGATTAGTGTTAAAAGGAATTACTGTGTGGCGCGTGCTGGCTGAGGCTCTGGTGGCTAGCATGGGAAGCAACACCACAACTGGAAGCTCGTGGAGAATGTTACTTTGCAATGACTATGAAGGGCCAATTGATTTTGATCCGATTCAATCTTTTGCTGATCTCTCTTCTCGAATAGTTCAATCTATTGTGTCATCCTGAGAGTCTTCGCGGTTTTTGTTATCACAGATACCTCTGTGTTTGATGTCGCGTATTTGCATTGTTATGCAGACTTGGTCAGAAACAGCTGATCTATTTGTGCGTTGAAACTTGCCTCAACTTAGCCTCGACAAAGAACCAGTACAAGAATAGTTTCTGAAGTTCGAATGCAGCTTTTAGAGTTTGCAGATGATGCAAGGAAGAAAATGGTACAACAGAATCAACATGGAAACTCTCAGGATGACCCAATATATACGAGTCTATGGTAATATGGAATGGTTCATGATCACAGTCAGTCTCATAATAGTCATCCATCAGTGGCGACTCGTGTCATTTTATGGGGCTACAGCAATTTCTTCCTGCGATTGCAGGGCTCACTCTCATTATATTTCTACTCAATTAGACAAGAAAACAGCAACGAAGTTGTTCATATAAACGTGTCCTATTTGAAAACTACCTCCTTGCACCTGAACATAAGTCTTAATCTCTCTCTGTTTGTCAAGGTATTATTTAAAATAACAAGTTTGTTGACTAGACCTTCCCACATTAACACATGATTTAAATAATTGTAACACAGGAATTATTCACAGAATTAAAGTACAAGATTGAACATCATATACTGGGCTCCGGTTTATAAATAGTTGAGTGGAATTAAAGAATTCCAACACGATGCTTGTGCTAGAACTTGAGAGGGACCAATAGGAGGCACGTTTACACAAACTTCTGTCATTCTCTTCTCGTGTAAAATCCGTCTTTGAAGTGAGACGACCAGCAGCTGTACTATCTACAAAAATAACGATCAAATAAAACTGTTACATCGGCTAATGTTAATTTTATTTGGCTACCATTTTACCAAAAGGACCTGCCCTGCAGCCCCCCCACGAGCCACGACTGTCGTCCACCGTTCGTCCTTTCACACATAGCTCTCCTGCTTCTTCCTAACGATACTTCCAGCAACGACCGCCGTCTGAAGCGGCAGCTTAATCTGTTTTTCCGTGGACGCGTTGTTGCACGGTACCTTTACGCCGCCGCTCTTGTTGCTGCTGTGCCTCCTCCAGAAGTCCGAGTGGTTGCTGCTGCAATTGGTGGAACCGGTGGTGTATGTACCGGTCCTATCCGACGTTTTCTTCTTTTTCCTCCTGTTCGGGCCCAGGCCACACAGCCTCAGGAATCCCTCCCTGAACTTGGACGACATCAGGTTGTAAAGGATGGGATTGATCGCTGAGTTCAGGTAAAGCATCACCCGACAGAAGTACAGCAACGTGTAGTAACTCTCCACGCCGAAGTCGATGATCATACGTCGCGGTACGACGAGGATCCACAGGGTGAACGCCTTGAACGGCAGCAGGCACATGAAGAAACATAGCACCACCGTTCCCAGCATCAGCATCACCTGTTTGCGATACTTGAGCATGTTGTTCGACGATCCACGGCTGATTGTCGGGTTCGCCATCAGGTGTCGGGCAATCACCGTGTACAGAACCATCAGGATCAGCAACGGTATCACGAAGAAGATGACCACCGTCGTGATGAAGAACGCGAATATCCAGTGGGTGCTCACCACCGTGTTGCAGGTGGGGATGTACGTGCCGTTCCCATCGTCCTCCATCTCGTAGCTGATGGTCAGCAAAATGGGGCTGTGAACAAACGTTTAGTCACGAGTCAGCCATCTTGGAAAGATTCTCGAGTGATTTTTTCGTATCGAAAGAGTTACGCGGAACCAACTTAGTCTAAAACGTATTCTAGGTTATGGAAACTCTGCGAGTCATAGAGTCGGAACTCCGTTAAGAATATTATATTTATTCAAACAATGTATAATACTTGTAAAGCCGTGCCCGCTACAGGTTACTCTCAGCTAACGATAAACGACGTAAACGCAAAATCGCAAGCGTACAATCAAGCTGCATTCCATCGTACGTAGAACTCAACGAAATTTTCATGCGTAACTATCTGTGACACTACTAGTGAGATCATCGTTTATTAGCGATTCATGGGTATCTGTCAATTAGTGTCAACTACGGTTCGAAATGCTTCGGCGAACATAACCTTAAACCTTTGTCTTTGGAATTAGAATTCGACGCCTAACCTACATACGTCCAGCGGTCGAAAGAAATAATTATATCGGTTTAGTTTCGAGCATCAAGTTCGATCCATCTTGCGACCGGTCTCCTAACCTAACCCTCGACCAACTACACAAAGTTCTCCTCCTGCTCGGTGGAGTCCGTCCTCCTGGCGCCCGAAACGACGTTCTTCCAGTCGCCGTGCTTGCACCCCGTCAGTCTGCACAGCCCCAGGAATCCCTTTCTGAACTTGCTGCTCATAAGATTGTACAGTATCGGATTGAGGGCGCTGTGCAGATAGAACATGATCCTGCTGAAGTTTAGGATGGTGAAGAACGTGTTTCGATCGATGGCGACGATCTGCTCGGCCGGGGCGACGATTATATAGAAGATGAGGATCCTGTAAGGCGTCAGGCAAACGAAGAAGCCTATGACCACCGCCAGCAGCATCGTTATCACGTGCTTCTTCGCCCTGGCGTGGTAGGTGTCGCTGGTGTTGCTGGTCGAGGGATCGGGCATCAGGTGTCTGATGATGAACGCGTAGAGCATCAGGAGGATCAGCAACGGCACGATGTAGAACAAGAGGACGAGTAGCAGGAAGAAGACTATCGTCGCTGTGTTGTCGGCCATGGTCAGACAGACGGGTACAAAGTTCCTAGAGTCCTGATCGCTCCTGGTCTCGTTCACGGGCATCTCCCGGTACTGCGAGACCCAGATTATGGGACTGCAATCAGTGAAAATTGAATTGGTCGATCGGGACACGAGCTCGAGCACACGTTTTCGTTTCAAGCGGGACGGACTTATTGCTGAATCGGAAAAAACGGCGGTGCCTTATGATTCGATATGAGTGCGGTGTGCTCTTAGCCCCTCAACCAACCGGAACAGACGGGACTATTTCTTTCGAAAGCTCGGCTGAAGCTGGTGATTTTGTTGCAATGACCGCTTTGTTCGAGTCGCTATCCCCGGGAGTCGATGTTAATTTATTTTCCTGAGATATTTTATTAATTATTTATTAATTTATTAAGATTGGGGAAAAGAAAAGGAAAGGATTTTCATTAGTAGAGAAAACCTAACAGGTCCAGCCTTGGACATTTGTACGTTGGATAGTCGAGTGTGTATATAGGAAATAGGTGATGGATTGCATGTGAGAAAGTGTAGCCCTCTGCTGGTGAGTACGTGAAGCGTCTCACTGTTTTACCACAGACAAGGGAAACATATCTGACCACACATGTTTTCGATAAAGAATTTTTTTCTCGAAAGTACGTAGGATTTCGGGGATATGTGTATTCACAAAAAATTATTGTAATTGACCCCCGCAATGGAAAATAATTTTTTTAGAATGATTTGTAGTTTTTTAATTTCGAAGAAAAATTCTTTTATTTTCTATTCGATAAAAAAACCTATTTACAGGGATTCTTCGAAGTGATTCTGTACGCCGCGAATCCAGAAGCCTTTCGTTTTTTCCTAAACGGGGAAAGCCGATCTTCGCAATTAACATAAATTGCGGTGCGTCGAGCCTCGAGGGAAATTTAATACCACGGTGTCGTTTTTCGCGAAAAGTTTCTATCCGAGGCAAGGCGAGGAAGAAAGCAACCGGATATTTTGTCTCGCCGCGTGGGAGAATCAACGTCTGTCGTCTGCTATCCACGATACTCTGAAATCCACCCACGAACAACGGTAAAAACTACGGTGGAAAGAGATCCTTAGTGATCGAGACGAATTACCAGTTCTCTCAAAGATTACAAATCCAATATTCGTGTTTCCAACCCCCTTGTTCGATTTTCTCTGAACAAAATTTCTTCTATCGAGGCTAAATATATATCGAGTTTCTTCTCTACCGAACACCTGTGGCGCGTCTCACGAACTCGCCACCAGAGGGCTACGCTCTTACATATACGCTCCCCGAGCGACCATCGAATGTCTCAGCGTGCGAGGCAGGATCTACTAAAATTGCATTCACCGATTTTGTCGCATTTTTAGGAACAAGGGGGACAATGTTCGATCGGTTAAATATTTATGAGCGTCCGGTACACACCTCGCTGCTGTCGGAATGGGAGTTAGTAAGTTATTCCAAGAAAACAGAAGTGATTCACACTTCCGAGGAAAGCTACACGTCATTCTGTCAACACCCGGTAGTAAAATTGCCTCGTAGATCAAACGAAGAGGGGTGAAACGAGCGATCCATCAATGGTATTGTATTGCAGGACCGTGTACACGATTGAAACTCTATCGTTGGAGGTTTTCACCGTAGTTATGCGATGCTAGACATCCATCTTGTTTTCACGTTCAATGGAATTTAATTACTAGCTCACATTTAAACGCGTTTACGATTTCCCTACAGTACAATCTGATTCAAATGCTGTTTACTTTCTCTTTATGTTACCACAAAGAGTATACTTAATTTGCAGAAGCAGTTAGCTATAGAAGAGGCTTTAAACGCCTGTATTGTGCATCCCACGACAAAAGCAATTTTCCTCCCATTTTTATTTCAGTTATAGCTCGAGATATTATACATTTCTCCCTGAACCAGGATCATTTCAATGCGTTACAAACTTCTTACGAAATAACTAAATATCCTATCTTTCGAGCCTCGAGGCAGCTTCGAGAGACTCTCCGTTCCTCTGCGCGTTATAGTAATATATTCTCGTTCGCGGCTCGTTTTAACCGAACGAAACCTTCCGCGTAACGGTAGATCGGTAGAGATCTTGGAACCTAAGAAGTCTTTGTTCTCTCAAAAGAAAAAAGAAAAAAAATAGAGGACGTACGCTTCCGTTCTTTGCGACAACGATATCCAAGAGACAGAGATCTCTCTCGCGGGTCGTTTATCTGATTAACCGCTCGAATTTCACCGGGACTCTATTTGGCGGTAAAGATGCGAAAAAGTTGCGGCCAAGGTTCGCGAAGTTCGCTCGAATTACATGATTCAAGACTCCCGTAGCTCTCCGCGGAGGAGTTTTTCACCGCGCAATAAAAGTATAAAACGCGATTGCCCCGCGATGCCCGACTCCCAACTTCCATTTCGATCCGAAACTTTCGCGACAATGATCTACGGGGACGGTCGTAATTTTGAAAAATAAAATTCTATTAAAAAGAGAGAGCTGGTGTAAATCCACTTTTTTCGTACGTTGAAATATTTAAGGGTTTAAATTATAAAGAGAACTTGCCAGCGGTTGCAGGACGTTGGAAACGTCGATTCTCGGTCCGGTCACTGAAGTGCAGCTGCATTTGGACGCGTTCGAATCCAGTACTTTGGGATGGGTGACCGCTCGGCGGAAAAAAACACAACACCCACGATCGTTGATTTTCTTACACTCTTTATATTATGATTATATCTTTCTATCGAGGTTTTAATCGACTATTAACTTGTCCAGAAGCAATACAGTTCTATTAAACAACATTTGGAGAAAATAAATGGATAGGATTCTTCATAAGAAATAAACTTGTGTGAATAAAGTCAAAGGGGGATCGAAATAGGGAATAATCGAATTCGGTTGGGTCGAGATTACCCCTTCGTCGATATCGTTCGAGATATGTTGGGAATGGGTGCTGAGAATCTGGACGAAAGGATTCGATTTCTGGGTCGTAAAGTCCACGGTCGGCGGAGAGGTCCTTTTCTTCCACGTTCCGAGTTCGGACGAAAGCGAGCGTGTCCGTGCTATCGTAAAAGGAATATTACCCGTAAACCACTTCTCAGGGAGAGTTTTACGCGTCGGTTACACTATATTCCGCCTCGTAGCTTACCGGGTGCGGTTGTCGAGTTCAAAGTCCATGCGGTTCCGGTTCGCTGGGATTTATCGTTGCTCGAGAAAGTATCCGCGGAAGATCGTGTATTCGGGGGGCAAAAAGAACAGAAAAAAGGAAAGTATGATAGAAAAAAAAACCCGTGAGAAGGTGGTCCTCTCGAGGTTTTCTTTGAAGCCGCGTTGGAATCTCGACGACGAGACGAACGGGGATCGATTGGTACACGTTTAAATTGTTTTCTCCGCGAACGACCCAATGGGAAAGGGAGGAAGTAATTTGATATTTACGAGAGAGAAATATTAGAGACGAAATGGAGCTTATAATAAGAGCTTCTCTCGGTGTCGAAGTCGATTCGAACGTTTTTATAACTTATATTTGATAGGAAAAAGATATTCCACCCCTCGAAAACCATAGTTCGAGTTCGGCGATAAAACCGGTTGAACAACGCTCGAGTTTCATTTAAATGGTACATAATTTATTTCAGAGAACGGTATAGGGTAACTTGGTGGCGCTCCCAAATGAAATTTATCGCGTATTTTGTTTCAAATAATTGGTTTTACAATCGGTATTGGCATACCCATTAATCCTTCTCCTACATGACGATTTATTCTACTTGCAAGTTGCAACAACTTTAGTGCAAGGAGTATATTTGTTCGAGGCAATTACAAGCCCACAAACAGCACTTAACCTCTTTGGGCACGACACGCGATTATAAGAGGTTAGGTCGATGGGTTCGATTCGCGCGACGAACGCCTATAGGCGTTGCAGAGATATATAACACGTTCGTTGTTCAAATAATGAAAGTGAAATAAATAAAGAAAATCCACGTACGAACAGCTTCGCGCGATTGGGATTCGTTTGTACCTTGTCGATACATTTAATTACACAAAGTGCTAGCAGGTAGCGTTTCTACTTAATGTTGCAGAAGCGATAGATGCATAGGAGAGGCTTATTCAGGAGAATACTGATGTAATTTCAGAAGAGCATTCTCAGTTTTAGCGGGGCCATTTTTCTTTCAGCGATCGGTTCTTGCCAATGAGCTTCTACGGACTAACAATTAACAACGTCCAATTAGTATACTAGTTTTTGCTACGAGTCTAAAATTGATATTTGTTGGGGAATAAAATTTACCCTGCAATGCACCAGGAATCGACAAGCTGTTAAATAAACGAGGGAAAGAGGTTATATCTGACAACGGAGAATACGTTTTGGACTAAGTTTAGTAAGTTAAGTATTTAACACTTTCACTGCTACGAACACAAGTTATAGGATTCCAAAAATACCAAGTTTTCGGTATTGGAAACGTCGTTCGGTCCACCGTGCGACGACGCGAGCAAGCGTGGGCCCGGTCCGTCGTTGACTGCCCGTTTCAAGATGGCGGAGCTCGGCGACGCATGCGCGTAAACAGCGAACAAAGAAGCTTGCAAACGTCTCGATCGCGAATAAAGAGGGAAAACTTTTAACAAGTTTCGCAACAGTTTACAACAGCTCTTGCGATCGTAAAAATTAATTAATTCCAAACAATTCATACGTAAAGAGAACATCGTGCATAGTTTTATGAACGAGCATAAACGATAAGAGGCGGATGGATGACGAAGGGTTGCGGAAGCGTACGAGAAGAGCGGAGGCGAAGGAAAGCGTCGACGCTTAAAGTTAACTTTTCGTTTCGTTTTCTTGCGTTTCCTCACCTAGTGCAGAGCGCCGCCGCCACCCAAGCCAGCATGCAGAGAAACGTCGCCCTGGCCTTCGTGCACACGTATCTGGAAAAAACAGAATAGAAATCGTTCGCTCGCGGTGCGACGTTTCGCGAACGGGGTCCCACGGAATCGTGACTGACATTTCGGATTGATGCGAAACACGGTTCTAATACCAATCGTCGGCGCAGTAATGCCGGGAAAGCGGCGACAATGGAGGTGACACGAACACAAACCGTAGAGAAATCACTTGGTAGACGGAAAGATTAGTCCAAGTCATGACTGACACGGGGGGATTGACAATGCGTCGCACGTTCGCGGCGGCCATTGTTATTTGAGGAGGAATTCTTTTGTAATTGGCTCTAAAACTATCTTTTCTTTAATCAGGTCTTAAGATGGCCGACTAAATACGATCGCCATTCCATCCAAGCCCACGTTCTCCCTACGATACTGGACGTCTGAGGATTTCGTTCAAGTTTGGATTGCCGTTTCATTTACATTCTCGTATCGTCAGACTTATCGTATTATACTATTTTCTTCTGTCTCGAGATAATGAATTTTAATAAAATGATCATTCCGCTGGTTTTCATTTTTTTGTTTCACCTACCCGGCTCGAAGGGGTTCGCAAATAGCATAATATCGTTCGAAACTGATCGCCAAGATCGTAAGAACCGAAGCGTGCGCCACGGTCAGCTCCACGAACGGCACTGCTTTACCTGAAATCAAAGAAACGAACCGTCATTGTCTAAAAATGCACTGCGCAAATTTGAAAGGAATCTCCACAACGTTTGGCTTCCACGAGAATCTCAATTTTATAAAATATTTTGGCAATGGAGAAAATATGGGTCAGCATAACAGACTGCAATTTCTTGATTAAAGCAAAACATTTTGGAAAGTATAAAGGACCTCGGGGTAGAATATTTAAATGCATTTCTCGAGCTTATTTTTCGAGCAAGAAACGTACAGGAATAATTACATTATCTGGTTGAGAAGTTCCAACATAACCTTAAAATTAATATGTAGCAACGTGTAAAGTGGTTAGGTGAGATCACTCACGTGTCCAATTCTGCTTTATATGTCTCATACTCTTTTTATATACAATTAAGAATATTACAAATGGTTTAGTTTAACCTAAAATATAATATTAAACGTATTCCGTAATAAATTAAAGTATAAGAAATTTTCTTCGATGAAGTAGGTAGGTGTTTCAGTATTTTAGGTTGATTTTTCTTATCCGCCAGGAGGATTAGATTTACGATTCCCGAAAGGGAACTCGCCTAACCGCAAAGGTGTACCAATAAACTCGCACGACGCTCCGGACACTATTATTTTCCAGTGTGTGTGTTTCCTCCGCTTGAACACTGGCTAATCGCGTTAATTTACCTAGACATCGACGTATCGAACTTCTGGGAATTCCAAATACCCATGAAATTCATTTTAAAGCGATTGGTCTAGGCGAAGCTAACTTCTCGATATTTATTTTATTTAATATTTGATTAATTTTAATACGAAATTTTGTTGTAAATTAAATACTTTGGTCCAATTTTGGTAGTGCACGCCTTGACTCTACTGTTTTAAAAATGGCGGAAGATTATCAAGGTTCTATTTGAGTGTACAGCTTTCAGAATTGTATACGATGTTTTCTTTCCCCGATTTAAGTTTAGACGCGGGAGTTAGAAGAAAGTGTCTAATAATAGTGGCCCTACGAACATAAATTACGAGGAATTATTAGACGTTAATCCATTCTGCGCTCCAAACATTTCTTTCTAAGGATTCCAGCTCGTTTCATTCGCGCCATCTCTCGCGCTCGCCACCAGAGGGCTACGCTCTTGTCTCTCTCGCAAGTACTCGTATATACTCCTCGATCGACTATCTCCTGAGGTCTGAGGCATGGACTGCTAGGTTCATACAATTTCTAACCTCTTCTCGTTGCTTCGAAACTTCTGAAAGATATTCAAATTGACTTTCTAGAGGAAAAGGGACTATAGATCTTTGAAGTTTCTAATAGACAAAATTGTATTCTACGAAGACACAAAGGTTATACGTGGGTTGAAGAATATTCCAAGGAACGTCGTTAAATCAACATTATCGTCTTACGATTTTCATTAGGCATTCCGTTCTCGTGGCTACTTAACCAGACCATCGCGGACCACGTGTCGCGTCGGAGAACGGGAAAAGAAAGGTCGTTTCTCTCCTCCCGTTGAAACGTGTTCGGATTTTCGACAAATTGCCGCCATTCTTTCGCGTTGGCTGTCGGGAAATCGGCTGAAAAGAGTGCTCGCGAACCAGCTTCCACTGTCACTGATCGAGATTAGTGGAGGATTGGGGGACCCCGTTGTGGAGATCTTCCCACTTGTTTTCTTCAATTACACTAAATTAACCAAGCTTATCGAAAGCTTGAAACATAGCAGGGATAATCCTTTGAAAGAAATGCATCATCATTTTAAACCACAAAAGTTCAGATTTTTAAAATTAAAAATTTATAAATCTAATATCAGGTTGACTATAAAGGCAACTGAATAATTTTAATTTTTCACCGTGATTGAAACATTCGCCGAGACCCACTGTTTACATCCACCCACGAACGAGATATTTCCGTCGAAAAAGAGAGGATCAAGATTTCCTGTTGCTTTCGCGGCGCAATAACGGTAATGCGTCCAGCATTTTTCACGATTCCGCACGCAAAAGGGAAACCCGTGGCTGGGAGAGAGAAAAAAAGCCGCAGAACCGCCCGGCGGGCTTTGACCGTTGGTAAATTCGACGTCAAAAAACGTACCGAATCGAATGGCCGTCAACACCGCCCGGGTGTATCGTATTCCTCCATTAGACTTTTCAATGAAACCATCCCCGTCGTCCAGCGGTGTCTCAATTTATCGTTTTTGTCAATTTCGGTACCGGGGAAAAATATTTCGCTTCCCGGCTTTAATAATTCACGAACCACGCGCGGCAGGGACGACAATGCACAGGGAACGTGTAAACGAGTGACATAACATTTACTATGTATGTTTGTTTATGGGCGGAGGGTCGTTTAGGCGGCCATTTTATTAGGCCGTCGCAAATGAAACGGCCGCGCGAACTTATTACGCGGTTTACTGATCGAAATAATTTTTCATTCTATTTTCAGGTTAGGTACGATAGTTTCTTTTTTAAACAGAGTCGTGCATTTATTTATTCATCGATCTAGTACGTTATATGACAATATCGTTCGTAATTTGGTACGTTAAACGATGATTGTGTGGAAGAATAAATACTTATGTTGGAAGAACGACTTTAGTACGTTGAAGATACCGGCGTTCCGCCCGATCACTGAAGTGCAGCTGCGTGTGGAGCCACGTGCAGAACAGGGATGGGTTACCGCTTGGGGGGGGAAAAAAAAAACATCGCGCCGTACTGTGTTGAGTATTATTGTATTTCTCTATCGGTTTCGCCCCGGGTCAATATTAAAAGAAACTACTGTTATAAATGGGAGTAAAACACCAGTGTGTTTAACAAATTAAAAATATAAAATATAAGTAAACCCCCGCGCATTATAGTGTACAGAATTGAAATGTCATAGACACTAAGTTGAATAATGCAAGGTTTAATACGGATGAGAAAAACAACAAAATGGAAGATTCCCAGCGGATTCACTTGGATGAATTAGGGAAGAAAAACACACAAGGAATTAATTTTAAAAGCTTGGGTGAATTAGGGAAGAAAAACACACAAGGAATTAATTTAAAAGCTGTTAATGGAATTGTTCCGAACAACGGCGTGTGAAAGTATTAGTCGAAGGAATTTCCCTGTTCCAGCGTGGGCGATGGCCAAACCAGCAAGGCGGAAAGGTTATTTTCCCCAGGATCGATGATTATCTACGGCGCCAGCTTTCGCGATTCGGTGTTATACATTATCCGGGGTTCCTGCGGCCTTTATCAATGAAACACGGGCCGCTCGGGACTTTCTATAGAAACCCCCTCGACTGGAAATCGTGCCTTAAGTCACCGTGGATGGCGTGGCGCGCGCGGGGGCGGATTCGCCCGTTTTGGCGCGACGTACGATATTGGACGGTAAAAAAAGGGTACTTTCCTTCGACGATATGAAATTCTATAAGTTGCCCGCCGGCTCGCTCCCGCGATATTGCATTCTTTTAGATACGTTTCTCTGTTCTCTCATCCTCTTTCTCCACGTTAATCCTCCGACCATATTATCATTCAACGATTTTAAACGTTTTCGTACGAGCGAAAGCGTAAATCGAAGATGTTCCTCGACAAATGGCGTTACGATGAGGAGAACGATAATGAAAAATACGACTAACGGTTTAAGCCGCCGTTGGTCTTATCGAACCCCACAACTCCCAGGACCGAACTAACAGCGTTCTTCTCGTTAACGAGAACCGATAAGAACTTCCGTTGCAGCGCCAGAAAACGGTCTTCCGCTGCTTTACGCAAATTTGGACAAATGGCTCTCGTGTTACCGCGAACGGATAGGAACACCGGGGCTCGTTTCGAACGAGTATATCCAGTTTCGAGGGGGGGAGCGAAAAGCTGACGTTGATTCGCATATTGCGCGACACTCGGGGAGAAAACAGGCTCTCGGAATAAGCTTTTGGACAGCTATGGGGGGAGTTCTGATGTCGCGGCGTCCACTTTCAGGGTATTTTCATTCATCCTGATTTATTTCCTGACAAGAATCTTGCGAACATTTTGGTTGGAATAATTTACCTCACAATGCATGTAAAGTATAATAAATTAAATATATTTGGTATCGTATCTTGTTTAAATATTACCATGATAAACAAAATGAATGGAACACTGTTTATAACCTCGAACAAAAATAGAGATAGATTGAAATATTTGCTGAAAGGTAAAGACTTTCACACGGGAAGCCTCGAGTGGGTATCAATGGCGTCACGGGTTTATTTCGGGGTCCATTTGCAAAAATTCCGCGAGCGTACGACCGTGAAGCCATCGCACGCTCGGAAGAAACTCGCGGAATTTGAAACAATTAAGCTCGAATTGGTCTCGGAATTAAACAGGAGCTGAATATAAATGGGGGGACTATTTTTACGTCGCTTGACGTTCGCGGACAGTTTTCCCGGAGGAAGGAACTTTAATTTTAACGTCTCGTTGATCAGCGACCGGCGCCTTTTTTTTTTTACCGCTCGACGCCATCTTGCCACTTCGGCCCACTCGATATTACGTGACGTCTGTTAAAGAGACTGCACGTTTTTACTACGCGAGATTACTAATTGGGATTGCTACCGCTTTTAATTACGGAGAAATAAATTATGTTCGATATTCAGTGGGTAATATTTTTTTTGCATAACAAAAATAATAAAATAAATTTAACTTGCTCGTCACGATTACGTTCAACCGTATAAAAGAGATCTTCAGCCATGCCTCGTCGTGAGACGTCTTCCTGAATTTTTATTCTTCGAAGCTTTTATCATTCTCATAATTATTCACGCTTACGGGACGCGTCCGGGTTTCTTCTTCAAACTGTGCCAAAAAGATGGAGATTCTTCTACCAAAGACCGCCCGTGAACTTAAAATGATGAAGAACCAGCGAAAACAAAAGAAAGTCGGGCAAAAGGAGTGGGGAGAAAAAGTTAGACGAGGAGTAAGAGATCCGATTATGGACGCATTAAGCTAAGTGCACATTGAGCGCAGTTTCTACTTCATTTGTCGATTTTCATTCAGATTCTGACGTTAAAAAATATAGTCGAGGGACAATGAAC